CAAACTCTTTTCGGGCCACTATCCTGGCAGGAAAAGCAACGATGTCTTGGTTAAAGACAACCACTTTTCGGGCCACTATCCTGGCAGGAAAAGCAGCGACGTCTCTGTAAAAACAACCACTTTTTGGTCCATTATCCTGGCAGGAAAAGCAACGATGTCTTGGTTAAAGACAACCAATTTTCGGGCCACTATCCTGGCAGGAAAAGCAACTATGTCTCTATAAAAAACAAACGCTTTTTGGGCCACTATCCTGGCAGGAAAAGCAGCGATGACGCCGTAAAAACAAACACTTTTCGGGCTATTATCCTGGCAGGAAAGCAGTGATGTCTCCGTAAAAACAAACTCTTTTCGGGCCACTATCCTGGCAAGAAAGCAGTGATCATAAAAATAAACACTTTTTGGTCCACTATCCTGGCAGGAAAAGCAGCAATGTCTTTGTAAAAATAAACACTTTTTGGTCCACTATCCTGGCAGGAAAAGCAGCAATGTCTTTGTAAAAATAAACACTTTTTGGGCCACTATCCTGGCAGGAAAAGCAGCGATGACGCCGTAAAAACAAACACTTTTCGGGCTATTATCCTGGCAGGAAAGCAGTGATGTCTCCGTAAAAACAAACACTTTTCGGGCCACTATCCTGGCAAGAAAGCAGTGATGTCTTCATAAAAACAAACACTTTTTGGTCCACTATCCTGGCAGGAAAAGCAGCAATGTCTTTGTAAAAATAAACACTTTTCGGGCTATTATCCTGGCAGGAAAAGCAGCAATGTCTTTGTAAAAACAAACACTTTTCGGGCTATTATCCTGGCAGGAAAGCAGTGATGTCTTCATAAAAACAGACTCTTTTCGGGCCACTATCCTGGCAGGAAAAGCAACAATGTCTTGGTTAAAGACAACCACTTTCTGGTCCACTATCCTGGCAGGAAAAGCAGCGATGACACCGTAAAAACAAACACTTTTTGGGCTACTATCCTGGCAGGAAAAGCAGCTATGTTGCCGTAAAAACAAACGCTTTTTGGGCCACTATCCTGGCAAGAAAAGCAGTGATGTCTTTGTAAAAACAAACACTATTTTGGCCACTATCCTGGCAGGAAAAGCAATGATGTCAATTTAAAAAACAAATGCTTTTGGGCCACTATCTTGGATGGAAAAGCAATGATGTCTCTGTAAAAAACAACCACTTTTCGGGCCACTATCCACCATGAAAAGCAGCTGTGTCCCTGCAAAAAACAAATGCTTTTTGGGCCACTATCCTGGCAGGAAAAGCAACAATGTCTCGGTAAAGTAACCTTATATATCACCACACAAATGCTGATATGATTGCAGTATGATTATGATATGGTTTGCAGAAATGTACAATCCCAACATTTCCTCTGGCGACCGGGCTGCTCGTCCTTACCTGCTCCTGTTTTCTTACATGTTTTAGTATAGCAGGCATTTTAACTGCATGTTTTTACCTTGAATCTGATCCACGGAGATATTATTATAAGCCTGGCAGGAACACTAACTTGGACTTGACTGAAGTGATCTGCTATACATGGTGTCCATGAAGCAGATGGGGACTGAAAAATGTCTGCAGGCTGAGCAGGAAACTACTCCAGAACATTTTACATCCAAGAGAGCATGTGACGATGCCAACTGAGAACTGAGCTTGTTAAAAAAAAAAAAAAAAAAGATTATTGTCTGGTAAAGATAAACATTCCCAGTATTTTAGTGCAACTCACTGAAACTGAATGGAATCGTGCCAGATGATCATGTGAAGGTAATATTTTTTGCATGAAAAGCACAACAATCATATTAACCCTTTCTTTGCACTGCAGATGACATTGCCTTTTCATCTGAGCATCATGCGTGACGCTGTTTCTTGTTTCCTGCTGTCAGTCACTTCCTTCCTGCCATTTAACTGCTGCTCCACCTCCCTGGCTCCCACATCAGAGTTTTGCAGTTGAATCTAAAGTCACAACTTAAACTGTACAGCGTCAATAACAGCTGAAGAGTTGATACTTTAAGGATATTTTGGGGGATTTTCTTTGCTTTATTCACAGATTTGGCATGAAAGGGGTCAAGAGAGTGGGGATGACATGCAGCTAGGGGCCGTGGGTTGGAATTGAGCCAGCGGCCGCTGCAGCAGGAACCCAGCATGTGTCCATAGGGTGCCTGCTCTACCAGGTGAGCTAGTGGGCAACCCAAAAAATAGTTTCTGAAGCCAGTCTGGTATCAGTTATTTCTTTAAAAACAAATGTGTTAAATAAAATTATTATTTTCTCAGTTGATTGTGTACAAAAAAAACAGCAGACAAATTAATCTTAGTTAAAGTTCAATCAGGAAGACTTTCTTTATGCTATATTAATTCTTAATTCTCTCTCTATCCCACTCCCACTACTTCCTCCAATCAGCTGACTATGGGCCAAACTTTAAATCTGATCTCCTCTCTGCTCCTGTCAGCTGTCATTAAGTGGACTTGTCACGCCCTCCTCCACCCCATTCACCTCCAGTCACCTGATCCAGAGCCCAGGACGAGCTCATCAAAAGCCCACTCCTCTTCACATCCAGATCCTCAGCTCCCTCCATCTCATCTCACCACCACCACCAACATCTAGACTCCACAGGGGGGGATCCATAATCAACCATGTCTTTACCACCCTCGTGGAATCGATGACATCACAATGGGGTCTAATCACCAAAGACTCTTAACATTTCTTATACTTATGTGCACATGTAAATAAAACAAGTCTCTCCTGACTGAACTACACACACATAACTGCAACTTAATAAGTAAGATCTCCCTGTGCTGTTACCTTGTCGTGGTGGAGAGGCTTGTGCGCTTCTAAGACCCTGAGAGCTATGCTAAGGAGGGGTCTGTGGCTCCTGGTAGGTCCAACCTTACCAGAGGGTTTCAGACAGAGGGTTTATACAGATGTTTCAGTGGAAACCCAAAATTCTAGTACAAATCTGAACATGAGCATAACAGGTCCGCTTTAAGAAAATTTGTCAGTCGGAGAAAGTACCTTGTTAGAATGATGGAATAATTATTGCAATCTTGGAGTAATATCTAAGCAGTCTTTCTTCTAATCTAACACTCTGACTATGACCCTAATATCAGTAATATACAGTACAGGCCAAATGTTTGGACACACCTTCTCATTCAATGCGTTTTCTTTATTTTCATGACTATTTACATTGTAGATTCTCACTGAAGGCATCAAAACTATGAATGAACACATGTGGAGTTATGTACTTAACAAAAAAAGGTGAAATAACTGAAAACATGTTTTATATTCTAGTTTCTTCAAAATAGCCACCCTTTGCTCTGATTACTGCTTTGCACACTCTTGGCATTCTCTCCATGAGCTTCAAGAGGTAGTCACCTGAAATGGTTTTCCAACAGTCTTGAAGGAGTTCCCAGAGGTGTTTAGCACTTGTTGGCCCCTTTGCCTTCACTCTGCGGTCCAGCTCACCCCAAACCATCTCGATTGGGTTCAGGTCCGGTGACTGTGGAGGCCAGGTCATCTGCCGCAGCACTCCATCACTCTCCTTCTTGGTCAAATAGCCCTTACACAGCCTGGAGGTGTGTTTGGGGTCATTGTCCTGTTGAAAAATAAATGATCGTCCAACTAAACGCAAACCGGATGGGATGGCATGTCGCTGCAGGATGCTGTGGTAGCCATGCTGGTTCAGTGTGCCTTCAATTTTGAATAAATCCCCAACAGTGTCACCAGCAAAACACCCCCACACCATCACACCTCCTCCTCCATGCTTCACAGTGGGAACCAGGCATGTGGAATCCATCCGTTCACCTTTTCTGCGTCTCACAAAGACACGGCGGTTGGAACCAAAGATCTCAAATTTGGACTCATCAGACCAAAGCACAGATTTCCACTGGTCTAATGTCCATTCCTTGTGTTTCTTGGCCCAAACAAATCTCTTCTGCTTGTTGCCTCTCCTTAGCAGTGGTTTCCTAGCAGCTATTTGACCATGAAGGCCTGATTGGCGCAGTCTCCTCTTAACAGTTGTTCTAGAGATGGGTCTGCTGCTAGAACTCTGTGTGGCATTCATCTGGTCTCTGATCTGAGCTGCTGTTAACTTGCGATTTCTGAGGCTGGTGACTCGGATGAACTTATCCTCAGAAGCAGAGGTGACTCTTGGTCTTCCTTTCCTGGGTCGGTCCTCATGTGTGCCAGTTTCGTTGTAGCGCTTGATGGTTTTTGCGACTCCACTTGGGGACACATTTAAAGTTTTTGCAATTTTCCGGACTGACTGACCTTCATTTCTTAAAGTAATGATGGCCACTCGTTTTTCTTTAGTTAGCTGATTGGTTCTTGCCATAATATGAATTTTAACAGTTGTCCAATAGGGCTGTCGGCTGTGTATTAACCTGACTTCTGCACAACACAACTGATGGTCCCAACCCCATTGATAAAGCAAGAAATTCCACTAATTAACCCTGATAAGGCACACCTGTGAAGTGGAAACCATTTCAGGTGACTACCTCTTGAAGCTCATGGAGAGAATGCCAAGAGTGTGCAAAGCAGTAATCAGAGCAAAGGGTGGCTATTTTGAAGAAACTAGAATATAAAACATGTTTTCAGTTATTTCACCTTTTTTTGTTAAGTACATAACTCCACATGTGTTCATTCATAGTTTTGATGCCTTCAGTGAGAATCTACAATGTAAATAGTCATGAAAATAAAGAAAACGCATTGAATGAGAAGGTGTGTCCAAACTTTTGGCCTGTACTGTATCTTACATGAGCAACAGGACCTGAATTTGAAACAGAAGCAGCTACAGCAGACACTTTTTTGGGGGGTTGATGAAGTGTTGGTAGAGATAAAAACTTGCAGATAAAAGAGAAGAACAAGAGGCAGTACATGTAAACCTGGAATCTGAGAAAAATAAATCAAAGAAACCGATTTAAATCAAATCAAATCTGATGAAAATTTTAAACAAATCTTACTCATCCACAGTATCTATCAAGTGTCAGGCTATTGCAAGGTCAAACGCACCTTCACCATGAAGTTGCCATCGTCCTCTGGAGTCACCATGACAACGGAGTCATGCAGCTTTTCGTCAAAGTGAACATGTGATGGGGCTCCGGCAGCAGGGGGCATCTCTGAGAAGCGCACGCCTCCTGCCTTCGTACAACCTGAGAGAGAAGAGTGAAGAGGTGCTTAAGGTTCAACATGAACAAAAACACACACTGGATCCCTTTAAAGGGAGAAGAGACGTGTCAGACCGCAGCAATCGACTCCTTTCAATAACATTAACACAGCACTTCACAAAGATAATCACTCAAAGCTGCTACGGCAGTCTGTACTGAAAACACACACAGGCATGTATCCATGCAGACATACAGTCCCTCATATACAGACAAGGCGCATTAAAGGAAAAACCTGAATCAAAGTGTGGAATAACATCAAATGCAGATGCTTCCACGCACCGGTGCTCACTGAATTATGGTGATTCGGCCTTTACATTCACCACATCTCAACCCAGTTTCACTCTAATGGAAGACTTTGGACCAAAGTGTAAGACAGTGTTTTCCACCAACATCTACATAAGACACAATATAATAACATAATAACTTTAATCTTCAGATCTATTTAGTGATGTCTGTGATTGTCTTTGATGCTATATGTCCTTTTGTTATGTCTAGCTATGTTTTTTTTTCTTTCAATCTTCTGTGCTCAGGTCTCTCTTGCAAAAGAGATCATGATCTCAATGAGATTATTTAATTAAATAAAGTCTTTTGTCTAAATGAGGAACTATCTTGTGGAGGAGTGGTGTTCATCCCTCCAGTAGAGTTCCACAGGCTTGGCAACGAGCACTGTCGCTGTTCTGGAGGCTTGTGGTGGTCCAACTCCGTACTAAGCCTATCTTACACCCAGCGCAAAGCAACTGTCATTGCTGGTTTCAGATCAACCCAGTTGTCATTTTCATGGCCAGTGCCCAAGTTGTGTAAGTAGCAAATGTACTTGCACCTACAGTACAGGCCAAAAGTTTGGACACACCTTCTCATTCAATGCGTTTTCTTTATTTTCATGACTATTTACATTGTAGATTCTCACTGAAGGCATCAAAACTATGAATGAACACATGTGGAGTTATGTACTTAACAAAAAAAGGTGAAATAACTGAAAACATGTTTTATATTCTAGTTTCTTCAAAATAGCCACCCTTTGCTCTGATTACTGCTTTGCACACTCTTGGCATTCTCTCCATGAGCTTCAAGAGGTAGTCACCTGAAATGGTTTTCCTACAGTCTTGAAGGAGTTCCCAGAGGTGTTTAGCACTTGTTGGCCCCTTTGCCTTCACTCTGCGGTCCAGCTCACCCCAAACCATCTCGATTGGGTTCAGGTCCGGTGACTGTGGAGGCCAGGTCATCTGCCGCAGCACTCCATCACTCTCCTTCTTGGTCAAATAGCCCTTACACAGCCTGGAGGTGTGTTTGGGGTCATTGTCCTGTTGAAAAATAAATGATCGTCCAACTAAACACAAACCGGATGGGATGGCATGTCGCTGCAGGATGCTGTGGTAGCCATGCTGGTTCAGTGTGCCTTCAATTTTGAATAAATCCCCAACAGTGTCACCAGCAAAACACCCCCACACCATCACACCTCCTCCTCCATGCTTCACAGTGGGAACCAGGCATGTGGAATCCATCCGTTCACCTTTTCTGCGTCTCACAAAGACACGGCGGTTGGAACCAAAGATCTCAAATTTGGACTCATCAGACCAAAGCACAGATTTCCACTGGTCTAATGTCCATTCCTTGTGTTTCTTGGCCCAAACAAATCTCTTCTGCTTGTTGCCTCTCCTTAGCAGTGGTTTCCTAGCAGCTATTTGACCATGAAGGCCTGATTGGCGCAGTCTCCTCTTAACAGTTGTTCTAGAGATGGGTCTGCTGCTAGAACTCTGTGTGGCATTCATCTGGTCTCTGATCTGAGCTGCTGTTAACTTGCGATTTCTGAGGCTGGTGACTCGGATGAACTTATCCTCAGAAGCAGAGGTGACTCTTGGTCTTCCTTTCCTGGGTCGGTCCTCATGTGTGCCAGTTTCGTTGTAGCGCTTGATGGTTTTTGCGACTCCACTTGGGGACACATTTAAAGTTTTTGCAATTTTCCGGACTGACTGACCTTCATTTCTTAAAGTAATGATGGCCACTCGTTTTTCTTTAGTTAGCTGATTGGTTCTTGCCATAATATGAATTTTAACAGTTGTCCAATAGGGCTGTCGGCTGTGTATTAACCTGACTTCTGCACAACACAACTGATGGTCCCAACCCCATTGATAAAGCAAGAAATTCCACTAATTAACCCTGATAAGGCACACCTGTGAAGTGGAAACCATTTCAGGTGACTACCTCTTGAAGCTCATGGAGAGAATGCCAAGAGTGTGCAAAGCAGTAATCAGAGCAAAGGGTGGCTATTTTGAAGAAACTAGAATATAAAACATGTTTTCAGTTATTTCACCTTTTTTTGTTAAGTACATAACTCCACATGTGTTCATTCATAGTTTTGATGCCTTCAGTGAGAATCTACAATGTAAATAGTCATGAAAATAAAGAAAACGCATTGAATGAGAAGGTGTGTCCAGACTTTTGGCCTGTACTGTATCTGTGCTCCTATGGGCATGTAGGTCTTAATACATACATATATCCTCTTCAGACTCTGTGTCCTCATATAAGGACATCAGATTTTTGGTTTACTTGACCTTACACTTCATTCTACCTAACTCAGACTTCATGTCGTCATTCATAGACACTTTTATGAGCCATCTAGTGGTAGTAAGACCACAACACACTTATCCATGTAAAAACAAGATGGCAGCCATCTCTGCCAAGTTAGTCTGCAGCTGATACCAACACAAAAGTGGACAAGGTCCAAAACCTGATCACATCTTATGGTTGATACTTGTTTATGATTAATTACGTTTGTAGTTTGATATGGCATTGATATGTAATCTGACCAATTTTAGCAACAGTAACAAGCTAAGACGCTGTTAATTAGGAAGTACTCATTTGAGGACATTGGGACTTTATTGTTGTCTTGTTTGAAGACATTGGGGCATAATTATTCTTGACAGTGTTTGGTTTTTTATATTTACTTACTTTACACTCAGGTCCTACTGATCCCAAATAGCTGGGATAAATTAAAAATACATACCAAACAAAGGTTCAGGTCTCAGGAGGGTATATATTGTCATCAAATTTTCATTTGGTTTCTTTGCAAAGTATTAATAATAAATCAAATATACATAGCAGCATCTCACCCATACGTGTCCATACATTTTTGACCTCTCGTCTAACCCTTCCCTCCCCACCCCATCTGGCTTAGGATGAGCTGTGATGGTGACAAAAGAAGCAAAAAAAAACAAAAACAAAAACATACAAGGATACAGGAATAAGTAAGATAAAAAAATGAATAACTACAGGAAAACGGGACCATCTTACTCAGATAATAACAGTAAGACTATCACTCATAACTGTACTGCTTGTGCACAAATACTGTATATGTATACAAACATCCAGATAAAGCACAAAGGTCTTAGAATGATGAAAATGAGGCACATTGTTGGTGTATCGCTATTTTGAGGCAGCACAAAGTGACTGCGCCATTGACCAACAAAAACCTGGTCTAAAGTCAACAGCGCAGTGTTTTCCTGCTGTTCAAAAGGCGCATTATTTAGAGAGTAAGATGTGCTTACACAGGCCAGTTCACAATGCATGCACTCTGCTTGATATAGGAACATGCAGGTAGGTGAAATAATAAATCATTAATGAGGAAAGTATGAACATTCTCTATGATGTGAACACAGCAGAGAGCAGAGAAGAGCTGCAGAGCTGCAGTCCAACTCCACGTTGAGAAACGCTGTGCACAGTTACGCACGAGGAGCGGTGTCACTACACTGGATTATTTTAAAAGCTAAAAGTTTAGTTCTGTTTCCTCTGCCAAGTTTCTAACTACAGTTTTCAGTTTTGCTGGTTAAATGACCCACAATATTTGCTGCGGTGACATCACTGCTTTTGCAGAAAACTGCTTGCTTCTCAAAATTGCCATATCCACCATGAAATGCACCGGGTGCAAACACACCTGGCTTTAAAGGGAATGGGAGATCATACTCAGATTGGTTGTATTCATGTTGCACCCAAAACACACCTGTGATTAATTAAGTCTAAAGTTCATGGGGTAAGTGCATTCAGGGCATGTTCAACTCTACTTTTATTAATGGATCATTTTTGACTCTGGTGCATAATCTAGGTGCAAATAAGGTGCAAGAGGCAAATGGGCTGTATTTAGTCCCTTTAGTCCCTTATATGTATTATTTCACCCATGCAGGTGAGTGAAATAATACATCATCAATGAGAAAAGTATTCACATTCTCTATAATGTGAACATAGCAGAGACCAGAGCAGAGCTGCAGTCCGACTCCACATTGAGAGACGCTGTGCACACTCACAGCATAACTTCACTGAGTATTTCAGAAGATAAAAGTTAAGCTCTGTTTCCTCTGTCACGTTTATAACTACAGTTTTCAGTTTTGGTGCTTCAATGTCCTACTATATATGCTGCAGTGACATCACTGCTCTTACTGCATCACTCTCAGTAGAAAACCACTCGCTTCTCCAATTCACAAAATCTGCAATGAAGGGCACCGGGTGATGATGACACTTGGATTGGTTGTAATCTTGTTACCCCCAAAACACACATATGATTAATTAAGGGACTAAATACAACTCCTTTGACTCTTGCACCCAGATTATGCACCAGTGTCAAACAGGATCCACTAATAACAAAATTGTAGTTGAAAACACCTTAAATCCACAGAGTGTTTAAATAAGGCCGTTAATGTTGGTTTTTCCATTAATATGTCACCTATCACAAAGTGTTGGCAGAACTGAAAGACAAAGAGGAGGAGAAAGAAAAGATCAAAAGGCAACGTAACAGTTGAAGGAGAGAAAAAAAGACTGTGGAGGGGGAAAAGAATAAAAAGATGCTGACAGTGTCTGCCAAAAAATTCATGGCAGTGTGATACTAAAAAGTCTGTTGAAAAACATCCAGCTGAGGTGATAATAATAGGGGCCAATACACAGTCTTATTTTAACATTATTGGCTATATTTTTTTTTTTTTAACTATAAGCAACCG